TTTTTTTTTTTTTTTTTTTTTTTTTTTTTTTTTCATGAAGTAAGTTTTTGGTGAATTGCCTTTAGATCCAAATACAGGAGAGCTCCTTAAATAAGCACAGGCAGGCATGCAGTCAGCAACAACACAGATGTAGGGAAGTTTTCCACGACTCAGTTTCTTCTTCAAATACTTTGCAAGAATTAAAAGGAGAGAAAGGAACCCCTGAAGTATAAGAGATTAGAAAACTACATCTAAGTGAGTAAACATTTAGATACAGAGTCTAAAATGGACTTTAAAAAAATATTTTAAAAAAACATATAAAATGAACTTTTAAAAAGTACTAAGAGAATGAGAAAACATACTGAATGAATATCCAATACTAGGAATTTCAGTTAATTTTTACGTGTGATAAGTGATTTTTTAAATTCTTAAATGTACATGTGGTTAACCAACATGTCTAAAATGGATTCAAAATGATTAGTGAGGATTGAAAGAAGCACAGTGAGGTTTAAGTGAAACAAGCAGGCTGTGATACTGAACACCACTGAAGGTGGGCAGTGACCATCTGGACATTCATAATACTGGTCTCCTGTATACCTTTAAAATTTTGTATTATCAGAATTTTAACACTGCATCCTAAGTCTGATTAAATGTGATATATAAATCACTGCTACACTGCCTACACCTTAGCTCATAAAGAATGCTAGCAAAGTGCTAAACTATCAATAGAATATTATTTACTAGTTGATACATCTCACTGTGTACATTATTACTGAAAACAAGCAGCCAGAAGCCAGGCATGGTGGCACACATGTAACCCCAGCACTGAGGAGGCTGAAGTAGTAGCATCACCAAAAGTCTACTCTAAGCCACACAGCAAGACTGGTGTCAAACACACAGACACACACGGATCAAACTTAAAGAGGTTAGTAATAATAAATGCAATATGAATAAAGATAAGTGTATCTGTTATTATTGGAATAAAGAACTGCTAAAAAACTATGAAAAAGATTTTCTGTACTGTTTAAGATTTAAAATTTTAAAATGTTAAGTACATTTTTAAAATTCAATCTTCATCTCCATTCAAGAAAATAGGCTTCCTGATGCTCAATAATATTAATTCAGAAAACTTGGCCTTATTTCCTGAAAATGGGTTTCCAAAATTATACAAATTATATGATTTCATAAAACATTACTATTTGATTCCTTGGTATTTACTACTCTGAATTGTTAAAAACAAAATACATCATTGCTATTTTAAAATCTTTATTAAAATCAGATTCATGCTTATGTACATTATCTTTCAGTAGGAATTAAAATATTATCAATCTATAATTTAAATCATACTTTTAGCCCTTTACAAAATGTAATTGAAGTTTTTATAGTTTAAAACTGACCTATAATAGAGAAAGTTAGATCAATTTTTGTTCATATAAAATGAAAAATGGTATAACAGAACATAAATTATACATCCCAAACACTAGTAAAATAAAACACCTACACCCATTTTCTTTTTTTTTTCTGCTATTTTCTAAGTACCAAAAGGCTTTTAATAAAGTACCCAAATAAAACCTTAATAAATCAAATACTAAAAATTTCTCCTGTACATTCTTTTCATTTATCTAACTATAAAAATTCACATTTCTATAAGTCATTATCTACATTTATGTCTTAAATAAAAAGATAAGAAAAAAAAAAGATTTGATTCCCCATACTAACAACTGTACAACTGCAAGCTTTTGAAAAGAAGCAAATGAAAAGAAACGGTAGTCTCTACTTTCCCTCCCAGAAATTGTAAGGGTGCCTAACAGTCTACATATGCATCACCAAGCAATGTTCATGCCTCTTTCACTATTTTATAATATTCTTAAAAATTATTATAGTTTTTGTTTTCTTTCAAGAATGGAAACATTTATTTGTAAACTATTTTAATTTATTAAAATATGAGTATTATTTTACTAGGATATGGATAGAGAAGTTTTAATGACAAATAGCAAAATGTAGCAATCAATATTTAACAGTATTCTGCCACTTGTTTTTCAAAAACACTGATTCAGAATCCCCTTTTCCACTTATTGACAGATCCAAATGCATCAAAATTAATCAAAATAAGATCAATGTATCAGCTACTAATTTGTATTTAGAACACATAATATACAGCCTAAGCTGTACAATGTACAATGCCAGCACTTGGGAGACTGAGGCAGGAGGATTGCTGCAAATTCAAAGACAGCCTGGACTACATAGTGAGACCCTGTCTCAAAAAATAAAAACAAATTATATGTGTGTGTGTCATTTATATATAAAGTCAAAAACAAAATTTAAACTGGTTTTACTAATAATGTAAATAAAGAGTAAGAAAAATTCTTAATGTTATGAGGATAAAAGACAAAGAGGGTTTTTTTTTTTTTTTTTTGGTAGAACCAGGGATTGAACTCAGGTCCTTTTGCTTGCCAGGCAAGCACTTATTCTACTGAGCCATCTCCTCAGCCCCTAAAATTTGGGGTTTTTTGTTTTGTTTTGTTTTTTGGTGGTACTGGGGATTGAATTCAGGATCTTGCACTTGCCAGGCAAGTACTTATTCCACTGAGCCATCTCCCCAGCCTCAAGGCAAAAAGTTTTATTTCAACCTTTCCTCTGCAACAGATTTCTTCTTATTTAATGATGTTTTAAAGGTATTACTTCATAACTCCTAAATTCCTAGTTTTGCAAGGTAAGGCTCTTACTATTTTCTAATTCTGCACAGGTCTTATAGCTATTAGTCAAGTCATTCTGTCCCTGAATATTTAAAAGGGAGGAAAAGATAGTGATTAAAATATAAGAAATTTTATACAATACAGAAAATTAATTTTAAGAATTTTGACTTTCACTGAAAGGGTATTTATTAATACTACGAATTACAAACCCAAAGACAGAAATACTGCCTGGAATATAAAGAGAACAAAAACGAGGTCCCTTGAATTATCCTTAAAAGCTCTCTAAATCTTCAAGTGTAGTCTTATTTGTAGGTATATTCTCAAGTGCTACTGCTTAAAATTTTAACTGAAAATAAAAGTTTCTACTTAACAAGTACAGCAATCTTCCTTATCATGGGGGATATGTTCCAAGACCCTCAGTGGATGCCTGAAACCATGGACAGTTAGAAACTGTGTATTCAACAGGAACTTTCACTGTCTTAGCTGGGTGCAGTAATGTACTAGGAGGCAGAAGGAGCAAAACCACAAATTCAAGCCAAGACCTTGGAGAATTATCAAAACTATCTCAAAAGAGAAAAAAAGATGGCTAGGGGTACAGCCCAGTGCAAAGGCTGTGGGTTTTAGCTCCTGTATCAACAAAAAGAAAGGTCTTTCTCCCTTAATGAATCACTTCACAGTTTCTCTACTCTTGCACTTGCCAGCCATTAAATAAAATAAAAATCATAAGTGCTGCAGCTCTTATGCTTTTTGTGAAAGTCAATTTGGTAACTAAGGATAACTGACAGGGCTACAGAGTGACTACCCAGGGAATGTGGTTGTGACAAAGGAATGATCCATCCCAGAAACAATGGAGCAAAAACAGCAAGGTTCCACCACACTACTTGGGTAGTGTACAATTTAAAAGTTACAAATTGTTTATTTCTGGAATTTCCGTTTATTATTTTTGCATTGCAGCTGACTATGGGCAACTGAAACCACAGAAATCAAAATCAAAGGAGGGACTACTATGAAGGTATTTAAATAATCTTCAGTGATAAAACTGTATCAAAGTATTTTACGGGTCTAAAACACAAGGTAGTTAACTTCTGAACAAAGTAATATTTGGAAAAAGGCATAGCTATTTTTAAAGCTATTCCACATTATTCACATTTTTTGTTTTGTTTTGCTTAAAGCATTAAGAAAAAAATGAGTCAGGTATGGTGCTACACACCTATAATCCTAGCATTTGAGAGGCTGAGGCATGAGGACTGCCTTGTGTTGGGCCAGCCTGGGCTATATCTATATATATTATATTTTGTTATGAATATTCTATATTGTTTAATCTGTGAAAAACATGACCATAAAATGTGAACAAAACATTTTTAAAGAGTAAATTATGTTAATTTTATTATTTTTGATTCCTTTTGTAGGATAATAAAATACCTCTTTAAAGTCATTTAAATATTAATGTTTTAATCACAAATCATTGTAAGTAAAAATGTCTACTATTCAACTATGCATAATTTTTCTTGGATAGGTAACAAAAGATACCAAATTTGTTCACAGTTATGAAAGATGAGGAAAATAAATTTTCAAGTCAAAAGATTTTTTAATGTTTGAGTTATTCACTCTTTGAATTTCAGATATTATTAATGTGACTTCTTTTAATGAGAAATGGTTTAAAATTTAATAACCACAGGTTTAATATTTTTTTATCTGAACACCTAAAACATTTGCAATGAGTAGTAATATGTTGAAGTGTAAAAGATTCCAAAATATCAATGTTAGTATTAACTCTTTAAATGTTCTTGATATATACAAACATGTATAAATTATAGATACAATTACTTACATATCTACAATAATATATAAACAACCTCTCTTCTTAGCTATATTTATATATGGATAAAGTAATAAACCTCTGTGTTATTCAAGGCAAAAAAAAGAGGCTTTGAAAAATAAATCTTTAAAGAATAGTTTCAAAAATAAAGTCTAAATATTGCACAAAATAATTTAACTGAAAATATTACTATACTGTAAAACAAAGTTTTTTAAAAAGTTTTTATATTCTACAGTACATTCCAATTTCTACTGCTATAAAAGAATTTATTGGAAGTCCGTGTTGAGATATTACGTGTTTACATTCACTCTGACAGGAATTCAATTTTCAGAAGTTAACTGAGCCTCTGCCTTAAAAGTTCATCTATTTGTGTCTTATACATATTTTTTACATCTTCAAGATCTAATCGGAGTTCTTCTGCTTCTTCTGCTTTTTCTCCATACATCTGCAAAATAGTGTTGTATCTTTGATCCAAATCCTGAAAAACATATTATTTTTAAGATAACTATACAGAACATCACTATGTCAACATCAACCATAAAATTGAAAAAAAAATATACTCATCTCTTTTAAAAATCAAACTATGCTGAAATAAGTAAAAAAAAATTAAAAACCTAGATGACTGTAAATGTGAACCTTTTTCCACTGAATCTACAATTCACCACATGTGTAACATGTCTTTTCTTTCACATTAACCACATTTGATGAAATTTTAGTTTTTGTTTCCTTATGGATTCGTGTGTATGTGTGGGGACTAAACCCTTCACTTTAAGCTGTAAAACTAGCCCTCTGCTGGTACCTCAGCTCACAAACTTGATTATTTCCATGATTCTGGTCACAAACTAGGTTGGATAAGAACCTGATAAAATTCAATGGTTAGATTCAATGTTGACCTTTATGGAGAAATTTGATTTGTTTCTCATCCAATTCAGTTCGCATCAGAATTGCATTTTCTATTTTGGGACAGTTGTTACTAAACTGTTAGATTATCTATGCTGGGCTCAAACTTTTCATCCTTTTGCCTCAGCCCACCAGAGTTTTGGAATTATAGGCATACACTACTATGTCCTGCTTCATTATGGTTTAAGTACTACCTGGTACTTAGGGTACATCATAAGTCAAAACATACACATTTTTACTTATGACTTAGAAGTCCTATAATCAAATAAAATAATTATTATGAAACATGTAACATCAACTACAAAATATCACTAAGGACATGCAAAGTACAGATTTATTATGAATGAGTTCTGGCCAAATAAATTCTAGCTTTGTTCCTACTCTAGGATTAATCATTTTTTGTGAAAAACCCCTTGAACGTATAATAACAAGATGGATTCATCTGTAAAGTTCTTTACTCAGTATTAACACTATAATTTTCAAAAAAAAGATCACTAAAGCATATATATGCATTTATATAAAATAAAAACATGAGATTTAGTATAATTAAATTAAAATACATAAAACTCATCCTTAAGTGAAGAATACTTACTCTTAGTTGAATTCGAAGTTTGGGTATCTCCTTCACTTTTTCTTCAAGTTCATCATTTTGATTTGTCAATTTAACTAGCTCTTCAGCCATTATTGATCGGGTTTTTTCTAGATTACCAATTTCCAGCTGAGAAGCATTACCAGAAAATCTTTTTATTAAAATATATCTTAACAATATTACTAATATAAAAATATTTAGTGTGAATTTAAGGGTTTTTTTTTTTAAAGAAATAGTTATGTTAACATATAATCCTGAGCTAACTTTACTTCAGGGTGCTGGAGACCAAACCTAAGGCCTATGTATACTATGAAAATGTTCTAGTACTGACCTGAGCTATAGCTCTTTCTTAAATAAAATGACACAGGCAGAGAAAGCGTTCTAATCCTGCTCAGAGATATACCATTTATAGGGCTTACTAAGCAAGAGAGAAAAAACTACAGAAAAGTCTATTTCATTTGAAATTGTAATCATGTATTTCTCTCTATTCTAATGAAACAACACATATTTCAGTTAATCTAAGTTACTACAAGAACATAAAGGAATGAAAATACACCTTAATGAAGTTTTTCCCAACTGCGTAAATCTAGTGATAGAAGCCGGCACCGCTACCAAAGAAATATAGACTCTCAAGCACAGCACACTGGGCTACACAAACACACTGAATACTAAGATTATTTGGATTTTTAAGAGAGTAGTGTTTTCACAAAACTAGAAGTCTACAATGGGAATAAAAGGTTTATTTCCTTCTGAGTATAGTCAAATGAAACAAGTAAAAAATGTTTTCATATTTCTCACTGCATAATTTCTAAAAACCCAAAGTGATCATAAAGGACACCCCCTTCATGTTGTATGCCCTCTTTTCCTTTACTTATTTCCTTCTGGGGAGCGGGAGCAACGTCTCTAATTGGTAAATCTGGGGAGAATGAAATGAGCACCCGAAGCTTAGCATTTCCCTTTTTCATTTTGGGCAAGTGCTGCCTGGAAGGAGCAGGCAGCCTCTGCTCCCAGACACTGGGAGTCCTACCTGGGCAGACAAAATGCATGGATGGATAGGTCTGCTGCAGTCCAACATGTCCTATGCCGGGATGGACCAGTCTTACTTAGTATCAGTGAGTGAGTAGCCCATTTGCTCTAAATATTATCATGAATGTATGAGGCCTTAAGATACATGATACATTTGGAGACGAAGTACCATCACTTTATTGGCTTTTTAAATTTGCCCAAATTCAGGTGGAAGAAGGGTGTCTTTTATTGGGTCCCATATTCATTTACTTGTCTGACACACTAGTTTTTCTTGTACCTGTAAATGTGCAATTTCTCCTTCCCTGAGCTTTAGTTGAGACTGTAGGTTTTCAATAACACTTGACCCTGCTCCCATTCTTACAGCATCATAAAGATTGGTGCCACTTGCTGATGCAGACATTGGTCCAAAGGAGTGATCATGAGACTCATCCTATTTTAATTAAAGAAAACACACAATTATCCAGTTATCAGAGATTATATTTCCTAAGGTTCAAACAAAATGATTCTGTCAGTTCTTGCTTTAAAATGTCTCTGCTCTGTATATCCTTGCTATATTTACTCCTCTCACAAAAACTTTCATGAACTGCCCCAAAAATGGCAAGGTCACAGTGACAGCCAATTGCAGGGGTCTGTTCACTTTATCATTAGTCAGTTTATGAACTAAGTCCATGTAGGACATAAAAAATTACCTGAGACAGAAAAGATGTTTGTAGCCCTGCCATATCAACTCCACTTATTGAACTCGAGCGTGACAAGGTGGGAGTGCTAGAAACAGAAAATGGCTTCCGGTCCTTAGAAAGTAAAACAAAATTCTGTCAGGGGGACATGCAACAAGATAAGTAGGACTAATAAAAATAAAGGTCAAGACTAATTGCCCAATGAAATGTTACAGAAGTAATTTCTCATCAAAGTCACAAGTCTTACCAAAGGTATAATATTTAGTAACTGAAGGAGCAGACAGACCTGCTTAAATCATCACATGGACTACTCATATTACAACATTTGTTCTTAATGGAGTAAAAAAATGTTTGAAACAATTATGAGAACTGCTTCATATTATATAATAGGGTTTCTGGCTTATCCATTTTATAATTTTTTTATATGAACTTATTTTTTAAAATGCTAATAAGTACATTATAATACATAGGAAACTCATTTTATAAAGGAAAGTGAACAGGGCAGTTCTAGTCCTACAGTACATCTAGGCCAATTGCTACTTAGCTTCAGTGAGATCTCAAAATTCATTTTATTTTTATTCATTTTTTTTTTTTTTACAAAATTCATTTTAAAAGAATAAGAGTTTCAGTAATTGAGAACCTATTAATCAGTCCTTACAGATATACTCAAATTACACTGGATCCACTCAGAATAGACAGTAATAATACTACTAAAACTTATCAAAATACTGATTTTAGACATAAAAATAGTTGGTTTTTTTTTTTTTTTTTTTGGTACCAGGGATTGAAATCAGGACCCTGCACTTGTCAGGCAAGTGCTTATTCTACTGAGTTATCTCCCCATCCCTAAAAATGGTACTTATAAGATATGACTATATATACTAGATGTGGCAGCACATGCTTGTAATCCCAGCACTTAGGAGGCCGAGGCAGGAGGACTGCCTTGAGTTCCAGGCCACCTTGGGCTACATAAGCAAGTTCAAGGCCAGCCTCACTGCACAGCAATCTCAAAAAAAGAAAGAAAAAATAAAGTATGGCTAAAAGTATAAAAACAATGATCTATTACAACAGCTCCTGTATTATATTAAAAAGAAACAAAAAGTCAACAAAATTCAATACCTTTTCTTTCATTGCTTCTTGAGTGAAAATGGCTTTTTTCCTTTCTTGTTCAACTTTCATTTTTTCCATTTCTAATTGACTACTCAACAATGTCTAGTGGTGACAAATACAGTTAGATAATTCATGTGATATTAATTCATGGCATCACAAGTCAATTGTAAAGTCTAGAGCACAAAATATAAATTCCTATTTGTTTTTACCACTAGAAGACCACATTCCACAAACAGGGGCATCACCCATTTCATGTCAGCAACTCGCTAGCTTGCTACTATCCCCAGCCATTCTAGAATGTAAACCCTAGGAAGTGAGGGAGCACTAAGAGAAATACCTTTTCTTTCCTTGTCTCTTCAAGTGTTCTTACATATTCATCTTTTAGGTTTTCTAATTCAACCTGGTGCCTAGCAAACCAGAGGGAATTAAAACAGACTATTAAAACTATTAAAAACTCACTACTTTCAAAATTCCAGTTACATGTTGAGTAGTCGTTTTTACTACCAGCATCAGTGATTTCCAACTGTGTTTTCCAGATCACTTGGGTTCTACTCAGAAGTCAAACTACAAATGAAAAAGCTCCACCGCTGTCCATTCCACTTTCTGGTTAGGATCACATTTTTAAAAACGACTTTAAAAACGTAATTTTTAGTACCATCATTCTATAATATACTCAAATTTTGCCAAAGCAGAGATTCTGTAAAAGTATTTACAAAGGTTGAGATATTTTATTTTAATAAATCATTTTCACTTAACTACTTTCTTTAAAAACATATTTTCAAAGATAGATCTCAGAGGCCAAAACATTAGTCAAAACCCTACTACAGTTTTAGAATAACAGATTTTACAACTGGTAGGTTCCAAAGAGTTCAAACATTTGGAAGACTGCAATGCTGCTAAAACCATTTTAACATAGAAATAACTCCAATGATGGTCTCCTTACTACTTTGTAGTGTTAAGAGATTCCTCGGGGAAAACAGAATTATATGGCATGAATCACTTCCTGGGAAAAATGCAAAACCATATAAAACCTATCACACAACTTTAAAGCCCCATATGAAGTCCAATGAATCCTAGTACCACATTAATATAATATCTTATTACTAATGACTCTGCATTTAAACATGTATTTACTATTCTTGGTGCTAGAAAGATTAAAAACCAGTAACACATATTTTAAAAGTGCATTCAATTGTAAAAGTACTCAGAACACTACTGAACATGCTCACCGATTATTTTCATCCTCCAGTTTTCTGAGCTTATTTTTCTCTGATTCTAGCTGGGCCTGAAGTCTACTGTTTTCCTGTCTCAAGAGAGAATTCTGTGACTCCACAGAGGACATCTGGATTTTGTTGGCAAGAAGTTCTTCTGTAGCTGCACGTTCTCTTTCAACTGCTGCTGCCAACAAAGTCTGGGACTCACCTGATTGCAGAACAGAAAGACAAATCATATATACATACATGCATGCAAAAACCAAGATAAAAAATGATTCTGATTTCAAGCTTTTAATGAGGCCAGAAACCTTAACTGATACCTACGTAAGGCAGGCCTGCCTAGTAAGAAAAACCAACCAACCTTAATTTAAACCTGCTTTACTATTCTTTTCCAAAATTATTATACATTGAAAATTGGAACCAGGGAGATAGCTCAGTGGCCTAAGTGCCTGCCTGGCAAGTGCAAGTTCTTAAGTTTGATCCCTGGCACCAAAAACAAAAACAAAAAACCAAACAAACGAAAAAAACTGAATTAAGAAGAGTTAGAAACCCTGAACAATTCAATAGCAGGCAATGAAATTGAAGCAATAATAAAAATTCTGCCGACAACAAAAACAAAAAAAAGAAAGGAAATCTGGAGTCATACAAGCTGTGTATGGTGGCCAGGGAAACAGCTCAGGCCCAAGAAATAGCTCAGTGGCCTAAAGCGCCTGCTTAGGTAAGCTTAGGCAACCACAGGGACCATGGTTGGATCCTCCACGCCACACGCAGTGCCAGCCCCATCCTCAGTGCAGGGTGAGTTGCCCCCCACCAAAAAAAAAAAAAAAATCACAAGCTGGGTGTGATGGCACACACCTATAATTCTAGCACTTGGGAAGCTGACACAGGAGGATTGCTGCAGTTTTGAGGCCAGCCTGGGCTACATAATGAGTTCAAGACCATCCTCAAATAGTGAGACTTTGTCTCAAAAAACAGGACCCCCGCCCCCCCCAAAAGGAGAAAGACAAGAAAATGGAGAGTCAAGTACTGAAAGAGTAGATGATCACAGCTGAGAAAGAGCTCAGCAGGAGAGCTCTAGGGGCTGGGAAGAAGAGCAAAAGGGAGAACGAAAAAGGGATGGGAGGGATAGAGAAGGGCAGGCAAGGGGAGCAGGAGAAAATGCAACAGATGAACAAAGGGTCCTGGAGTAAGAAAAAAAGGTATCTCAACCTAAATATTATACCTGACACGAAAATGTAAATGTAAATCATAAAAATTTTAGGGGGAAAAAGGTAAGAAATGTTTAGTATCTAGGGCTAGGCAGAGTACCTAAATGTGATACCAAAAACATGAGTCACAGAATGGAAAATCAAGAAAATGTACTCCTTTAAACTTCTGCTCTACATGAAGAGGAGAAAACAATAAGCCACAGATTGAGAAGGAATAAATGTAAGCCACACAGTAAGCCTAGTACCTAGAATCCAAAAAAATGCTCAAGACTCAAAAACTGTGAATACAATCCCATTAAAAAGTGGACAAATGGACCAGGGAGATGGCTCAGTGGAATAAGCGCTTCCCTGGCAAGTGCAAGGGCCTGAATTCAATCCTCAGTTCCAAAAAAAAAAAAAAAAGTGGACAAATGAAGCACATGCCTATAATCCCAACACCCTGAGAGGCGGAGACAGGAAGATCACAAACTTGAGCCCAGCAACTTAGTGACTTAGTAAGACCCTGTCTCAAACAAAAACAGAAAAGGGGTGTAGCTTAAAGGCCCCAGTTTAAATTCCATTATTGGTGTGGGGAGGGGCAAGGACAGACAAAAGATACAAGTAGGTATTTCACCATTAGGCTAATAGAATGGAAAATAAGCACATGAGACAGGTTTAACATTACTTACTAGGAAAATGCAAATTAAAATCATAATATGACTACACAACTGTGTGAAAGACTAAAGGAAAAGTAGGGACCATGTCAAAATGCTAGCAAGGATGTAGTGAACCACATTACTCTCAGACATATAGTCAAGGTAGAAACAATTTAGACATTTTCTTTAAAAATTAAACATGTAACTACCACAGAACCCAGCAATTTCACAACTGATCATTTATGCAGACTTGAAAATGTCTGTCTACACTAAACTAGTACATGAACACACATAAGAGCTTTAAATATAACTAGATATACTTTAGATAGAACAAGCTTGGATGTTTTTCAAGTTTAAGTGTTAAACTGTGGTACATAGTCCTAAGGCTTAACACTTAACAATAAAAACATTAACCTATTGATATATGTAACTTCTATAATCCTCCAGATAATTACACTGAGTGAACAAAGCTAGTATCAAAGTGCCAAATGTACAATTTTATGAATAAAACTTTCTGAATTGACACAATTTTATAAAAGACAGATTAGCAGTTGCCAGGAATATGGGATGTGGAAGAAGGGTTCAGAGGGAATAGGTACATTAATAAAAGAGAAACATGAGGGACCTGGTAGTGCTGGGACTGTTCAGCGTGTTGACTGTGGTACACATAAAAACCTATACAAATGGTATAATTGTATATAACTAATAGACACACAAGTACATACCAAGAAAACTAGAGCAAAATAAATAAATTTGGCCCACAGTTTTGAAGTCAACACAGGCCATGATATTATGAATTAATTTTGCAAAATTTTAACATATGGAGGAATTGGGCAAGTGGATGAGAGACTTGTCTATTTTACTTCTTTAATTATATCTGAATGTATAATTATATTGATTTTAAAAACTCAAAAGAACACAAAAGAGTAGTGGACAAGGTTCTTATATTTAACCAAGGAGTGGATAAATGAGAGTCTAGAGGAAGATAAGTGACTTGCTCCACATTGGCTAGATGGTTAAGTACAGAAGTTTACCGCTCCTATCACATACTGAGCTCTGCTTCCGTCACTATACCATGACATCCCTCAAGTTACAGGTACAGTAGTTTACACAACACAAGGCATATACCAATTTGTCATGAATTTGCTAGCTTTTTGGATATCTACCATATACCTATTCTGCCTGTCTGTGCTTGAAAAGAAACGTTATGGAACAATAATGTTCTTTTCATTAAAAGCACAGAAAAAATTTTTAAAAAGTACAGAAAGGCAACATGGGGCATATCTGTAAAGAGCAGAATATGGACCATAAATATTATAAATATTTCTCTTGTAGGATTTGAGTTTGATCCTTTCTACCTGTACTCCTGGAATTCTATCAGTGAACTACAAATTACAATTAATCCCTACCTACAGTGCTACAGAGAAGCCAGAAAGGAGTCAGACATAGCAAGTGACAAGGCAAATCTATAGTGTATTAAAGTCTATAGAAATAAGTGAAGGAACAATGTTTAAGGGGAAAAAAAAAGTTTCAAAGAGCCAGAGTTAGGAATTAAACATAAATGTGAAAAAATGAAAAGGGGTAGAAATCTACATATAAGCCATCTAACAAAGGAAGTAAAAGATTTATACATTGAAAATTACAGTACTCTGAAAAAGCAGATCGAAGAGGATTCAAAAAATGGGAAGATATTCCTTGCTCCTGGATAAGAAGACCAACATTGTGAAAATGGCCATATTCCAAAAACTGTTACACAGATTCAAAGCTATACGTATCAAAATACCACTAACATACCTCACAGATCTAGAGCAATCATTCCTAAAATTCATTTGGAACCAGAATACACCATAAATAGCAAAGGTAATCCTGGGCAAAAAAGGCAGAGCAGAAAGCATTATATTCCCTGATTTGAAATTATACTACAAAGCTATTGTGGTAAAATCAGCATGGGACTGGCAAAAATAAAAAAGACCTAAAGATCAGTGAAACAGAAGACACAGACACAATTACAAACACACTCAGCCACTTTATCTTTGACAAAGAGGCCAAACATGTTCATTGAGAGATAGTATCTTTAATAAATGGTGCTGAGGTGGCCAGGGAGATGGCTCAGTGGAATTAAACGCTTCCCTGGCAAGCGCAAGGGCCTGAGTTCAATCCCTGGTTCGGGGTGGAGGGGGGGGAATGGTGATGGAAAAAGTGACTTTCCACAAGGCAAAGACTATAAAACTAGATCCATGTCTAACACTATGCACTTAAGTCAACATGGATCAAAGATCTAAACAGTAAAACAGAAACACCAGATCTACTGCAAGAGAAAGTAGGTAGAGATCTTGAAGATACAGAGGTAGATAGAGAGTTCATGAACAAAACCTAAACTGCATAGGAAATACTTCAGGACTGGTGAGATAGCAGGGCCAGCAAGATAGCTCAGCAGACTAAGCCCCTGCTGAGGCAAGTGCAGGGACCAGGGTTTGATCCTCCACCCCCAGGGCACGCTGAGATGGCAACTGAGACTGGGCATGGTGGTGCACACCTGTAATCCCAGCACTTGGGAGGCTGAAAACAGGAGAATCACTACGAGTCCGATCTATGTAGTGAGACCCTGTACTAAATACAAAAAAAGAAAAAAAGCTTTTGTACATCAAAAGAAATCACCAACAAGGAAAAACCCCACAGATACAGAAAAAATTTTAGTCAACTGTCCGTTATACAAAGCACTTCTATATAGAACATACAAACAAACTGAAAAAAATCAGGTCCACTCAAATTAAAAAATAGGATTCTGAGATGAATACACATGTCTCAAATGAAATACAAATGGCAAATATATGAAAAAATGTTTAGTATCATTAGTCACTGAAGAAATACAAACTAAAACACTAAAAAAAAAAAAAAAAAAAACACTAAAATCATACCTCACCCCAGAAAGAATGGCTATCATCAAGAAATCAATCAAAAACAAATGCTAGGGCTGGCGGGATATCTCAGTTGTCTAAAGTACCTGCTTGGGCACTCAAGTCAGGCGCAGGGGACCAAGATTCGATGCCTAGCACCACATGCTGCACCAAGCCTGTCCTTAAGGCTGGCCTACCCAGCCCAAAAAATGCAGAGATATGGGAAAAAGAAACCATTTTCCACTACTGGTGGAAGTTAAGACTGGTACAACCTCTGTGAAGACTCTTCAAAAAACTAGGATTAGGCTCAGGAAATACCTCAGTAGAATAACTGCCTACCTGGTAAGCGCAAGGTCCTAAGTTTAAGTCCCAGTACCAAAAAAAAA